AGCCTAACTCTACTTCTAATCTTAATCGTAAGACTACGCCAAAGCTCAACACTAAGCCTAAGGGTAAGCCTCAGCCAATAAAATTATTCCTAAACCACTGCTTAAGCCTCAGTCTAACCGTGGAGCTAAACTTAAGAGTAAGCCTAAGGATACTCTGAAGCCTAAGCATTTGTTTCACAAAATCATAAGAATAAGAATAAGTTAAGCATAAGTTTATGACAGGGCCCATGCTTCAGCTTAAATTTAATCTTAGATTTTAACCCAGAACTCTTCCTAAATCTAAGCCTAAGACTAAGTTAAAGTCTGGGCTTAATCCTTAGCCTATGTTAAAACTGAAACCCTAGCTCAAGCCTAAAAAGAAACGTAAGCCAAGTCTATGAATATGCGTAAGCGGATATATAACAGTAATCGTACGACCCCACGCATGAGCGGAAGCGAGGACCTAGATATAATTCTAAGCCCAATCAAAATCCTTAACTTTCGATTAGACATAAGCCTAAGTGTAGGATTACGCTTAAGCCTAAGAACAAGCGCAACCGTATGCCCAAATCTAACTGTAAGCATATGCCTAAGCAGAAACTTATAAGTTATGCTACTTCTAAACCTAACCGTTAGCACAAGCGCAAGCCGAATATAGAGTCTAAAACGAAGCGCAAGGTCTTTAGTCTAGTCCTAGTCTTTAACTTGAGGCTCAGTTTAATCCTGTCTAAGCCCAGGTATAAGTTTAAAATCAGTCATTAGCCTGCGCCTCAGCTTCAGAATAAGCAAAAGCCCAGCCTAACTCCAATCCTAAGCGTAAGCCCAATCCTAAGACTAAGCATAGGGGTAAGTCAAAGCCTTAGCTTCAGCCAAAGTCGAAGCCTGAACCAAAGTATGGGCAGAATCCTAGGAATAAATTTAAGCCTATGTCTAAGAAAACCCACATGCTTATCTCTAAATTTCAGTTTGTGCCTAAGTCAAATCTTAAGTTTAATGATAAGCCTAAAAATAAACGTCACTCCAAGCATGTCTAATCCTAAGCCTAGGAGTAAGCGTGAGTATAAGCTGAAGTTTAAGACTCATAACGAACCTAAGGGTAACCCTACCCGCAAGTCT